AGATGTTATATTGATAATACAATAAGTAATCAAATGAAACAAAAAGTACATTTCACATTATTACAAACATAAATGGAATCATTAAATATCAACAAAAATTTCTTTCCCTCGCCCCCCCTCTTTTTCGTCGAAACATACATGGGGAGGGGGTGTTTATAAAATAAAATGATAAATCAAAATATTGCCTTAATGTGTCAGTATATTATTCATATTCGACAGTTAAAAGAAAAGTTTTCTACATAACCTCCATAACAATTATTATAACAGTCATCATGGTTAATTCGCGAGACATTCGTGTATCAAGTTTACAAAAGAAATGCAACATAAATTCCTGTGCAAATGAAATACAGAGAACTTTGCTTACATATCTCACACAATTATCTTCATTTCGCATATAAGTATCAGAAATTAAAATGAACATTTAAAAGAATCAAAACGATTTTTCGTTGTAAATTTATATAGAAACTAACCCATTATCTCATTACACCATGTGAGATGTTATATGATAATACAATAAGTAATCAAATAAAACAAAAAGTACATTTCACATTGTTACAAACATAAATGGAATCATTACATATCAACAAAAATTTCAGGGTGTTTATAAAATAAAATGATTAATCAGAATATTGCCATAATGTATCAGTATTTTTGTTCATATTCGACAGTTAAAAGAAAAGTTTTCTACATAACCTCCATAGCAATTATTATAACAGTCATCATGGTTAATTCGGGAACATTCGTGTATCAAGTTTCCAAAAGAAATGCAACATAAATTCTCATCGCAAATGAAATACAGAGGACTTTGCTTACATATCTCACACCAATTATTTTCAATTCGCATATAAGGTCTTTTTCATTATAACCTAAGAAATGATTGAATTTTCTGAAAATTTTACATTTCGCTCTGGTAGTGTCTGGTTGACATCGTAACCACAATTCTAAACATTTGTTGCAGCTTTTCAAATAAATATTAAACTCATCATTTTGAACAATTACATGTTTTACAAATGTGATATGTGCAATCTTTAGGCATAAAAGAAATATAACATCATCATCAAAGAAAAACCAGGCAATAAATTGTTTAGAAAATTACCGCTTATTAAATCGAATTCTTTCATAGAGAGTTAAACTTTCATCCCAAAATACATTTTTGCTCTCTAAGGAAAAACTATTTTCAAAAACAATCTAGAATCGACCTTTCTCTATTATATCTCTTAAAATCATACGAGGAATATTCAGTTCTACAGTATACATTCAGCTATACATAATATCGAAGATAAAAGTTAGTATTATAAAATATATTTACATATCATCCAAAGAAATTGGTTGAAATAAAGCCACCTCTTCTAGTTTTTCTATGAGAGGGAAAAACATTTTTGTTTGTTGTCGCTCATTGGAGTAAAAAAAAAAAATATAAGTTGCAAAAAAAAAATTACACTCTAGAATAAAATATTACAAAAAAGTTCCATTATTTATTTTAATTAATGACTTTTTCACGCATGTTATAGTGACCATAAGACAATGACTGAATTCCATCATCTAACAAATACTTTTTGTTGTAATATCCCGAGAAGCTAGCTTTATTTTGAAAAATAGTTTGCAGTTCGTGCTTTTTAAAAAAAAGATCGAATGTTTAGAATTCTAAATCAGGGAAGCATTTTCGAGAACGCTTTTATACGTTTCAAATCCAATGTTTTTCAGCATGCTCCTTTTGATTCCTTTCGCGGTCTTTTTAACAGTATCACCGAAACGAAATGCATACATTTTGCATTTCAAACCCACAAATTCCGATATGGGGGTGAGTGTCTCACTTTTTAGAAATCCCAGTTTTCCACGGTTCTCTTCATTAAACATTATATGATTGGGTTCGAAATTACTGCAATCCAAAATATTTAAAAAATTCGTTTTTAAATCACTATATACATCTTCAGTTGTTATATAGAGATACAAAGAATCTGTATCTGTGTATAACAACTCGCATTTTTCTTTGTAAAAGTGTTTAAAATGGGAATAGAATAATTTATACATGTGCAACTTCGCTAATTCTAAAACGCTGAAACCTATATAAATCGGTTTATCTAGACACAAATTTGGATTTTTCATTTTGAAAACTGAAAAAAATTTTCATTAATTATTTCAAAATATTCCAGCAGAGGACTGTTTAATTTTTTTGGCATTGTTCCTCACTAAAAACGCCCTGTACGCGAATACGTTTCCTAACATTTTGACAGGTTTTTCCATAGAAAGCGTTATTCATCTTTTTAAAGAAAGATTTTTCAAATTCGCTAGACGCATTTTTGTCTTTTCATATTATTGAAAGCAATGTATTCTTTAAGCCACGCTCGTTGTTTGAAAGCTAAAATTCTATGAATTTTTTAATTATTAAACCCTGTTCTACGTAAAACTTTAGATTTAAATAATGAGCGATGTTTTGTATTTTTTTTTTCAAAAAAATTGGGTAATAATTTTTGCATGGAAAGTGTCGTCTCTAACTGAAATTTTTTGCTCAGGGTTTTGGCATTAAGGCGATAGCATGTCAAAAGTGAGTTCAAAGTGTTCCGGTGCTAGCGGTAAATCATTGTATTTGTCATGCAGATAGGAGAGATATAACACATCGGATTCGATAATATACCTCACACCGGCGTCTTCAACACAAGACAAAATATCAAACACCTCCACCTCATTTTCCTTTAACCAGTAAAAGCCACCCAATGGCAGGTGCTGGCTCATTACGCACCCGTATAAATTATTTGCGTCTAAGGGCTAAGATACAGCTGTGTGGTAAATCGGGTTATAACTCTCGAGGACATAAGGATTATTTGCAAGCAAGAGCATAACGTCTACCCAGAAAACAAATACCTCCTCGCATTTGGTTTTCAAACCAAATGTATTGATTCACATCTCCTAGAAGCTCTAATTCAATTTTAGACACTTTCAGTCCGGCATTCCACGTTAATTCGGCAGCCGTTATAAAATGTACAGGATCCAACTGGTAATATTTTAGAGCGGTGCGTCTGAAGGATAAAAATACTTCGGCTAGCAAAATAACATCTGTATTTTGATATAACTCTAAGTAATCTGCAAAAGTGTTACATCCCAAACGAATGAAACACGTGTGTGGCATGTACATAATCTTCGTCGGAAAACTGCTTCTCCTTGTAATACATTATTAAACGCGCTCTGCGGTGGAAGCGAAATTTCATCCAACACCGATGTTGACGCAAAATATGAGTAAGGAAATACGCCTTTCCGCAATAACAATTCTCGTTGGGGATTTTTTTTCTCAAAAAATGCATTAAACAACTTAAATTCGTGTTGTGACGTTTTCAAATTCGACACCAAAGTGTCCAAAGATGCCTCTAGAAATTGAAACGAATCAATAAATTTCATTTCATCTAGCGTAAACATGGTGAATTTTTTCAAATTCACCGGAATAACGTTAACTTCATTTGCATAAATTTTCGCCATGTGTTTTAGTAACAGGTGACTATCATAATTCCTGAAATTATGAATTACCACCAGAATGTAGTTTGACACTTTAAAATTCGAATTACAGGAGTGATGTGCAAGACCTCTCACATGCCCATAACTCTAGTGGCAGTGATCTCTGACCCGAACATCGCCTTCTAAGAAAGGAATTCAAACATACTATATGACATATATTTGAATCGTAACTCCTTTCCGACGTCGCATACATCGGTAAACACTCTTTCATCTTTCACAAAATTTTAGATTTGATTTCGCTTCAACGTCGTGAAAAAAATGTTCCATTACATTCTCTCCGCAAAAATATTCATGAAAAATAATCTTGTCCTTCCACGTCAGTAACTATTAGGGTTATAACCTAATTGGAATATGCTGTTCAATTGGGGTAAGTATGACTCTGTTGCGGAGAAGGAAACGCAGTGTGAATCTTGCGCGTGAGGCATTCAAAATCGGTAAAGACACAAAAAGGATGATAATGCATTTTCATTAAATTTGTAAATTTAAGAAGTGTGTGTTTTAGGAATGCTAACTTTCTGCGGTTTGTTTTCATTGCAAAGAGTTTTGTGATACTCTAACGTTTCCCTTCTCTGAAACCCACTTAAACAAGTTTTACAAAAAAAATTTACTCGTTTTTCGTTTGCGTGTAATAGACGATTAAAATTTCGAATACAAAAGAAATGTTTTTGAAAATATAGCAAATCTACTGTTTTTGTCGCATTTCGCTTTTCACTTAATTGCAAAGGTAATATTTCATTTTCCTCATATCCATACACGTTTATGGATACATCGTTCAGGTTATTTGAGGGATCCTAATTTAAAACGTGATATATCCTTTTTATACAAGTAAGCCTTCTGAGGATTTCTAGTGGATTTCGGAAAAACACTTGCGGCAACAGAATATAAAAAACAATTGTCGTCACCACATTTGATATTTAACAACGCTTTTCTATTTTTTAATCCCGTCGGTAAAGTGATGTTTTTACAACCACCGCGAATTTCCCGATAGTTTCCAACGTGTAAGTCAAGGTACTCTAACTTTTTTATTTTCCACCCGCTTCCATTACGGCACAAAATTATCTATCAAATTTAAAATCTTTTTAAAGCATCTGTCAATGCTTTCGTAGATTTGGTTAGAGGATAAAATCCTTTCGCAATGAGAACAAAAATAAAAACACTGATTAATTTCTTTTTCATCTTTCCCCAGTTCTCAAAACATATTTTCAAACATATTAAAATCCTGAGTCTTAAACTCGATCTAGTATTTAAAATGTTGTATATGGCAGGGCGTGCCGTTCTGAATATCTCATACGGATCTTTCTGAGAAGCATCGAATGTTGTTCTTAAAGTGCGCAAATAGCCTCGGTGGGCTTGCGCTAACTGAATAAAATTCATCATTTGAAAAAAATAATAAATAAATAATGGAACTTTTTTGTTTACAATATTATATAAAATTCATATTAATTTACTAACTTCCACTACCGCTTTCCAGCAAAATTCAGCATTTTGATATCTTTTTTTTTTTAATTTTACATACAGTGACTCTTAATCACCCCCAAAGCTTCGATTATACGATCAATACAATTCATATTTATATTAAATCTTTTGGGGGTGGCGGCGGTTTCGGGATACACCCTTACAAATGAAACATAATTGACATTTTTGAAGTCACTAGTTTCTATTGAAACATTTTTTCCAATGTATATTTTAATTTTTTTGAGTTTTTTGCGGGAGGTTTTGCCTTCCTCGGGAGCAAGGTTTAAAATAAGATCTTCCGACGGCTGCACATCCCCCAACGTGTCAACACATCTACGTTTGCGTTCTAAAATAAACTAATTTTAATTATAATTTTATGCTTAACATTTATCGCAGAAAGTATTTAACAATAAAAGAACAATAACACAAAAAAAAAAAAAAAAAAAAAAAAAAAAAACCTTACGTTTCACTCACCATTACGAGCTTCCATTGTAATCCTTATGGAGGATGATAGCACCAACCTCACCGCTTCGAAATGTAATGATCAAGTGAAAGTTTCACAAGTCTTTGCGCTTACAGTAAGTAAGCCTTGTGCGCTTACAGGATGTTTACGCTTTCAAAACACGTATTTCATCAAATACTACTTTCACCTCCCCCTCAAAATCTTAACCTTGATCTAACCTCTCTCAAGGAAAAGCGACCATCTCGTTCCTAATTTAGCAATGCAGAATATTATCCCAGCCCACTCAACTGAAGCCAACCCTTTCAAATGCGCATATTACATTCGACTCGTGAATTTTAATTAAATCATTTCCCTTTTTTTTTTTTTTACAAGCCTCTCATCCTTCATTTAACGCGCTATTTTAGAAAAACATGGTATATGACAAACAGTCTCGCCTACATTACCGCCTACTACTACATCCAAGTACTTTTGAAGGTCGACTGCACTTCCGGGGTGCAGGGATACTCAAATCCTAACTACTAACATAGAGCAACCAAAATGGCGACAATTGAAAGTCAGTGAACAAGAAAGACTAATGTGCATGCGTGGGATGCCTACGACAGCGCTGCGACGGCGCTAGAATGAAACGGTACTTAGTTTCCGAATACGTTACGTATATCAGGGCTGTGGAGTCAGAATCAGAGTTGTTGGGCAGATTTTGGGGTAAAATTGTCAGAACTGGAGTCGCTAAAAACAGGTCGACTCTGACTCCAGTTTTCATTGGACAGTTTGATAATGAATAGTTATTTTCTATTTTATTGACATATTAATAAATAAATATAAGGGAGGAGGATGGATGTGATATTTGTCATTAGTGATTAAACTGATTCATTTAGTTACAAATCTCACTGCTAAATTTAGACAAGCAGCAATAGCAGCGAGAACTACCAAAATTGATGCCATTCTTGAGAAGCGAGCAGGAAAAGGAGCAAATATTGATCAAGCAACGCAATGAGGAAGTACTTACTTGATGATATAGAGATTGTTAGAATTAAGAACTTTTTTAGAAGATGTAGATAACCCTACTGTTTCATTAACAGATAGACTGTGGAATGATCTTACAGAATTAGAAATTCTTCTTTCTACATTGTATATAGCCACATAAAAGCTACAATCTGAAGAATTAACAGGAGGAAAGAATGGAAGAATGTGATGTTTGTTCTTTTGCAAAAGGAATCATTTCTTCTATAAAGAAAAGAGAAACTTGTTTGCTAGACAATGAGATCTTGCTGGGTTCAATATATGTAGATCCAAATGATGAACAAATTGAGAAGGCAAAGAAAGCCATCTATGAACTTTCAATAAGATTGCAATTATTTTCAGAACAATTGGAGTATTCAAGTCAGGACAGTCAAACTGAAGACACTGAATCTGAGTCTCTATCATCCTTTTTCAGTAATAAATTAAGTTTTGAGAAATATTTTTGGATAATATTGAAAAGGCTAAGGCAAAGCAAATGAAAATAAAGAATCAAGAGACTTTAGATATAAAAATGAAAAAATGCAAACAAGATTTCTACACAGCCTTTAAAGAAATAGAGAAATATGATTGCTCTTGCAAGACACCTCTTTTAGAACTTATAAAAATCTATCCTGAAAAATTAAAAGAAGTAGCTCTAACAGTAACAGCTCTCCTCCTACTCAAATCAGTGTGGAAAGACTTCTCAGCTCTGAAGTTTATCAAATCGGATCTATGGTCCTTCAACAAAGAAGATCTTGCCGAAGCAATACTGTTTCTTAGAAATAACTAACGCCAGTTTTTCTATTTCATAATAAATGCTGATTAATATAAATAATTTGCTATGCCATTAATTTTTTTCTGTAGCATATACTACTTCTTTTATATTAAAAAAATAAGCTGTAACCCATGTGTGTATGTTTACATATATATATATTATAAGGGAGTTGGAGTCTTTAAAATTCCAGGAGTTGGAATCTGTCATTTTCCCTACCGACTCCACAGCCTTGATATATACCGTATTTGACGGCATGTAAGACGCACCCTTATTTAGACGGCCACACACAAGTAAAAAAAGTTTCAATAGCATGGTTTCTTTTAGTTCTCACGTTTCGTAAAACCAAATAAACAATTATTGAATGCAATTACCTTCACGTATAAGACTGTGTCCTTCACGTATAAGACGCAGGTAACTTTTTTGAGACCAAATTTAGGAAAAAAAGTGCTTCTTATATGCCGTCAAATACGGTATATATTTCTGTAATTTCAGTTATCTATTTTTTAACTTTTAATGCTTTTTTTGGGGGGAGGGGCACTGTTAGCATAGTTTATTACTTTTAACTTCTTTTACTAACACTAAGTAAACATCACTTAATATGGTTAAACCAATGTCAGATAGTACTTGCATTGAGATTAATCATTATAGAAGGAAGAGCAGAAAAGGTATTTATCACAGTACCATATTTTGAATTCACTATTTACTTTTTAAGTAAAAGAAAAGGGGAGAATCCAACAAATCACAAACCTAACAGCATTTATATACTGACTTAATTTCAAGATCAATTAAAATGTAGGCAATCTGGTCACATTTGGTACTACTAAATAGAACCATAGTACCAAATGGGATAACTAAAGCTCTAACTTTATACATGAAAACTACGATTTAAGTGAAATTTTCTGCATTTCTAATGCAATGCAATTTTTGCATATGTACATACAAAGCAACAAAGTAAATTTTTACATTTAATAAAATAGCATATAACATGAAAGTTACATTAAAAATTTTCTTATGCCATACCAACTAACAATAAAATTGTACACAGCTGTGAGCAGTTATGCAGTTTAATTGGTATGCAAACTAGTATTGTGATATCTGCATTAACATTTACTTTAAATATGTTTTTGCTACCATGTGGATTAGCTCATGTTCACAGAAATCTCAAATCGCAACAGGAAGCAGATCCTTTGAATTCCACAATTTGAACATGGAAAACAGCAACAGCGAAGTTTGAATACATAATATCATATGTATGATATGTCAAGAGATCAAGTCATCCTCTATGACAACAATGTAAAATGTTGGAGCAAACTGTGCATTGCTGAATCACCATTAAGGAAGCAACTAACATTATCAACATGTTTTTTGAAACATTTCAAGTGCCCTCCTCTGATTTAAATATGCATCACATTATACCAATATACATTCTCAAAGGCAAGGTAAATCAAGATTTTTTAAAAAGATATTTGTAAGGTTGCATACTGTAAATTCATTCCACAGGCTCAGAGCATTCATATTGGATTTTAATGTAACATTCAAAAGGCATCTTAAAACAGACACTTGGTGTAAATAACTTGAATTGCAATGAGCAGAAAAACTGGGTACACCATCATGATCTTAAAGTGCCTACATGTACAGCATTGGATCTAATACATAGTATGCATCGCAGCAGTATTATTGTTGTTCGTCACCCTGTTTTCACACCTGACTTTGATTCTGTGACTTTTTATCCTTCTCAAATTTAACTTCAAACCAAAGAGTCAATGTTTTAATATCATTGATGAATTTCAGTATAAACTGAAGATGATGGTTCCTCAGCACATTAGAGCAGGGGTTCTCAACAGGGGAGAATTAGCCCCTAGGAGGATTTCATGTTTCAGGGGGGAATGCAGTCAACCTTTCATTTAGGTGTTAAGTATTTATTGTTAGTTTATGAATATAAAAAACTACTTTTATTCAAGTTTTGATAGTTACCAACATTTTCTATGTATATCTTTTGTTGTTTTATTTAAAAAACACATTAGAATACCAATGCATTTTTTTTTTTTTTTTTTTTTTTAAGTTAGGGAAGAAGAATCTTCTAGCAATGGTGAATGGGGTGTTTGAGGCAAAAAGCTGAGAACCACTGCATTAGAGAAAAAAAATTTCGAAATAATGGTAGAAACACAGGAAAAGGTACAGTGCTGCACAAGGAGACTAAATTTAAATCAAGCAAGATTTTCTTTTGCTTTTAAGCACCTAATCTGTGAACATTTTGATTGACTCTGTATATTAGCAGATCAGAATACTTATACACACATCTTTAGCTTTTATAAACATGCACATATGGATGAGTATTTAATAATCAAAGTTTTCTACTTTCTTACCTCCAGCTACTTTCTTCTTTTTCCCTGTCCTTGGATGAGACCACTGAGTGCTTTTTGTCACGTGGCTGAAAAAATAAATCATCAACACAAATATAACATAGGCAAATGAAATATTTTAACTAAAAATTCATGCATTACTTCATGAAAAAGAGCCAAATATATAAGTAAAATATTGGATTTCAACAAAAGTTTCCCACCACCGCAAATATCGCCTGCGCAAACAGTTCACATTGGTGTGTTTAATCATATTTTTTCAAATGATTTTTGGCATTTGAAACAAAGAGACTTGCTTCGGAACAGTGTGTTGTGAAATTTGTCAAAAAACACTGTTAACATTAAGTACAAAGTGCCTGAAATGGAACTATCATGCTAACAGATTAGAACCATTACTGACTCTCAGTTCTATTGCAGAAGTCAGATACAGAATGTCACCAAATGTTGTGTACAGCTTTAGGTACTAATGGTGTATCATATGACATTGTGAAGGTTTGATACCAAAAGTTCAAAAACAAGGACTACGACATTCAAGAAGTACAGCGCTTTGGCCAGCCTACTGACGTTGATGAGGCCCACATGCAAGAACTTGTGGAAGAAGATCAGCGTGCAACCATTCGAGAGCTTGCTAAGGAGTTAGACATTAGGGCCATGTCCATTAGTCATGGTATGCATCACATAAACTTTACATACAAGTTTCATTGCAGGGTGATGCATGAGCTGATTCAAGTACATAAGAACAGACATTGTTCGGGCCTGCACTAATCTGCTCAAATATAAACACAAAAACAAAATTATGGACTGTCACTTGTGACGAAAAGTAAGTGGATTTGCTTCAATAACGCAGGCCCAAAAAGGGCATTACAAAGAACCTAGTAAGCATTACAAAGTGCAATTTGACTAACAATAAGACCATGCTTTGTATCTGGTGGGATTGCTGTGGTATTATCTGTGGAGCAATTCATAACGACAGCGATGAGGCTGTACAACCCCCCCCCTCAACCCCGCTAACTGTGATTGGACTTGATCCAAAAAACAAGGAGAAACATTTTCTCCTTGTATGACTCACTTCTCGCGTTATGCAATGGACAGTAAACAACGCTTGTAATCATCGCTATATTTTTTTTTTCTTCATAATACCTAATAAATATGTTATTTGTGTTTGCTAATACAATGAATCGTGTTCCTTACCTCCGCAGCTTGGATTACACTTTATTAAGGTAAGAACTTTAATTCTGTTTTGTTCATCTGCTCGTCTCGATTTAGCGAAGTTGTAACAGTAAACAAAAATGAACCACGAATACCTTCAACAAAAGATTATGAGACTGAAAATATGTTTACTTCAATTAAACGCATAAAATACATCGAGATAAGCCATTAAGAATAAAAAAACAAAAAGAATAGATAGTTTACCATAAATTATCGCTGGATAATCGAAAAAGGAAAAGCCAAGCCTGTCTTCAAAAGCGAAACAAAACTGCATAGTTGCGTACTGCGCATTCGAAAAATACAGAAGCAGAAATGGCTACTAGCTGCGAAAATAAATATTCGATCATGAAACTAAACAATAACAACTATCAAAGTATGGAAATACAAACTTGAAATGATCCGGAAAAAGGAAAATTTATGGGATTCTAATAGCAGATGATACACCAAAAGAAATAAACGCCGAATGGAGAAAACGAGATGAACAACACAAGCTACCATTAGTTTACTCGTAGAAGACAATCAAATCGTACACATAAGAAATAAAACGACAGCCAAAGAAATATGGAATGAAATTAAAGAAAATTACATGAAAGAAAGAATCTTTCCAGTAAACTTTACCTTCTGAGAAAGCTGTATACGTTAAAAGCAAA